GAGTAAAAAACATGTTTTTATCTATTTTTTTGTGTGTCTCCCTTGTGATGGGACATTGTAGGATGAACGTTGAGATGTATAAGGGCACGGGGGTGACCAACACGGTTTGAATTGGTCTGTAATAAGGTAGGGCACTGATAAGGGATTGACAGGGATGCGTGCCCATCACTTTCTCCATTTGCAGGACCCTGACAATGGCACAATGCTCAGCACAGTGGATATGACAAACAAGTTCGTGTACGACCCCGCGGGCCCATGCATCTCCGTGCTCATCAGTGAGTAATACCGAGCCTCCTGACTGCGTGCAAATTCGGGTTTGCCGCTAAAGTTACGCTTTGCCACTGCTCTTGTTTTGTTCAACCTAGTCAGAAGATGTATATGCATGTGCATAAATGTGGCATCCAGTGGCGGCTCCTGCAAAATCTCTCAGGGGGGGCAAATGTCTGGATGATTGATAAGGATAAGGTCCACCCATGCAATGGATAAATTAACAGCTTAAGCATGTAAAGGCAACTTCACTTCTTTAATTTTAATGAAAAATAAAGTGACTCTTACAATACATCTTGTTTGTTTCTATACTCACTATTAATACAATCCACTCAAGTTTCTTATATTAAAGATTCCACTAGGTGGCGACAAATTATATTGTTGGATGAAACGTGCTTACGTATGATGAGCACGTTAGGGCGAGCCCTCCCGGAAGCCATAGAGAATGCATTGCAGTGCCCCCCGGTCGAAAAAAAAACATCTTTGAATGTAAGTCTATGGGGCCACTCGGGGCGATTCTCAGCCGGAGTGAAATCGCCCAAAAAGAGGCGGTACTCCACAGAACGTGACATGACGCTGATTGGACTATATCCAGAGGCACAGTGACGGCTAGCGTGACTCTGTGGTTGAATGACATTAGTGGTGCGTCGCCCAATCGCCCTAATGAAGAAACCGCCCCTGGTGGCATCCCGGTTGGATGGCACGCGATATTGTTTTGGACTCGTTTCTTGCATGGGCGATAATTACACTACGCCGTCAAATCCTCGGCCGCGTGATGGCGGGCGGGGGTGATGTCACTCGGCTTCCCTTCCCATGCGTGTAGTGAAAGTACGAGTCACAAAGTGTACGAATCGGGGTCGGTGGCATATGAGCGGGTCCGCGTGCTCTGAGCCCTTCCCGTATTTTTCACGTTGTTTGTGTTGTGACCCTCGTGTCTTGTGCCAAGTACCCGTTTAATGCTGCCCATTCTTTGCAGATAACAGCCTGTACTTGGCGACAAGCAAGGATTTCCATGCAAAGATAAACAGCATCTTCCGGACAGATGGATCTCATAGAATGTTTGCGACTGAGAGAAGCGCTGCTACCCTCAATGGTAATTGATGAGTTAAACATCACTTCTCTTTCTAAAAAATGCAGTCCGATATGCCCCCCCCCCCCCCCCCCCCACTGTTCCCCTCTTGTCTCATGCATATCTCTGTAGGGTCTGTGTAATCTTCGAGCTTTGCACATCCATACAGGACAACAGACTCCTGTGCATGGCCAAGTGACCCGGTCGACCCCCAGGGTTCTGACTGATGTCACAAGCAACTCACTTGTCATTAGCCGTGGCTGCTATAAATGTCCACGTGATCAGCCACTTCGTTGAGCTATCATTTGTGATAGCCAGGTCGTTTTTGAAAAATAAGCTAACAGGTTAGTGGGCTTTACGTGTTAAAATAAAAATAGTAAAAAAAGTGATTTGCTTACCTTTCCTATACTTTGCACTCCTATCGTGTTTAGTACTCTTTGTTGTTGTAGCGTTGTGACCCACCCCTACTGGACATATGTGACAAAGAGCTTTATAGCTCATTGGATTCCTCCAGTATACGAAGGAATATTCCCTTTCTGATATTCTGATTCTCTGGCTCTGCCTGGCCCTGAGCCAGAATTCGATTATTTTTTCGTGAGGCCAGCGTGTCTTGGTTCTGGCTTGGCTTGGGGAAACAGCCAGGTGAAAATCACTCGTCCCACGAGGACCGCACGCTGGCTCGGCCAGGATGTGCTGGTGGAGAAGGGGTGTGGGCGTTAAACCCAGGGCAGGGGGGGGGGGGGCTCTACCAGAGGTCGCAAACGGGGTTTGATTCTTTACCCGTACCCGGCCGCATCAGGGTCGCAAACGGATACCCGTACCCTACCCGATACCCGGCTACCCGTACCCGGCCGGGTATCGGGTAGGGTACGGGTACGGATACCCGATTGCGACCTCTGGGATGAAGCCGTGTTGCAGGCGCGGGTGGGTTGATTCTAGGAACTTGAATTGTGAGAAGAGACAAGACGTTGGGAAATGAGTGACAAACGGTGACTCACCAGTGACTCACGGCCTACCCGTACCCGTACCCGACTGCACCAGGGTCGCAAACGGGTACCCGTACCTATACCCGGCCAGGTACGGGTAGCCGGGTATCGGGTAGGGTACGGGTATCGGGTACCCGGTTACGACCTCTGGGCTCTACGTTACAGATCCTACCTTCGTGGCCTCGGAGGTGGTGGAGCCCGGCGAGGGAGGGGGCGGCCGCCACGTGTACTTCTTCTTCACCGAGACGGCCATGGAGTACGACTACATCCTCCAGCCGCGGGTGGCGCGCATCGCTCGCGTCTGCACGGTAGGTTCGGTGGAAACATCTTCATCGTCGTCCGTCATTTCGTCTTAATTATCCTGCTTCATGTCCATTTGTCGGTGCATTGACTTGTCGTTATCAACGCAAAAATAAATATCCGTTTCTCCGCGTAAAAAATAAAGGTATTTCTTACACGAACCACGAACCACACAGCCTTCTGTGATAGCACATTCTCAGCAGCATTATTGCTAAACAAGCAAACTCTGGAATTGATTTTAAAATGCAGTGTCTCATCGGCAGAGACAAATATGGATGAAAACCGACACGCTAAGTTCAATCTGAGATAAATACTTTCACCGTCGAGCTTAACACCTTTATTTCTCGATTGAAAGTTTTCGAAAATATATTCTCGTGTTGCTATGACAATCCTCTTCAGTTTTATTCGAGGAATTTGATCGTTTTTAGAGTTAATTCTTGATTGAGGCTTTGGTTTGTGAAAGCTTGGATGACCGCTTTCGATGGCTGCTGTTATGGTACACCACGGTGGCTACGAGATGTTAACTCCTTCACCTGGTATGCAGGAGGTCGTGGGTTCGATCCCGAACCTGACGTCTGTTTGTTTGGAGTTTGCGTGTCTCTCCGTGGTCGCGCGTATTTTTCTCCGGGTCCTCCAGTTTTTTCCCTCCAGATTTAGAATCAACATCATGCGTTTAAGAGTATTTGGCTACGATAAATGTCCACGCGATGAGCCACTTCGTTGCTTTATCACTTGTGGCCAGGCCGCTTCTGAAAAAGAGCTATATAGCTGAATGGGGCTATCCTTGTAAAATAAAAATAAATGTATAGTGTAGCTTTCACGAAATCAAATTCATTTTCATTATCTACAAAAGCCAGGCAAAGGTATTCATTTGTCTTACCTATAATTTGATGGACAGCATCAATGTCAGCTGATCATCAGGCATGGTCTCATGGAGAAAATGATACAATGTTATAATAAAAAAAATTATGTTTATAACCGGCGTATCCTGATGTTTGTAAGCGGAATGTTATTTCTTTATTTGCATCTTGCACAAAAGTTCACAAAGGCGGTGGCTGCTCGTCACTACGTAAACAGGCGTGTGTCCTGGCCCCTGGTAAACACCTGCGAATGATAGTTCACAGAAACCGCTATAGAGCCGACCCCTACCGTCAGCTGTGAAGCCGTGGCTCGCGCATTCAATATGTGTGACCTCTTTCCAGCCAAAGGTTAAAATCGTTCACTTATTCACTCTGCGTCAGTCCTCGATGATCGATCAATCCAACTTAATCCTTTCCCATTCCGACGGGTCTGCAAGTGGCAGGGTGGGTGTCCCGTTGACTGCAGAATCTCAGAACGTGCAAGTGGTTTGGCGTTAATTTCATTTAGAGAGGCGCAGCGCCATTATTTTTATAAACACTTTATTCACCGCAGAGAACTGTAGCGGCACGACCGCATTATCTGCAATAGCTGGCGCCAAACTGTGCCGCACGCTCTCCTGCGTGGCCTTTTACTTCCGATTCCGTTCCGATGGCTTGTTTATTTATACCGGAGAAATCTGAACACGTGCGTCATCGCAATGGGAAAGGGTTTCGTTGACTTCGCTTTGATGGACGGGGAGGTCGCCGTTTGGCTTTGCCACGAGCTGCGTGCAGGACGACAAGGGAGGGCGGCACATTCTGCAGAATAAGTGGACCTCCTTCGTGAAGCTGCAGCTCGAGTGCTCAGTGGCCGACCTGCAGCTGCCGTTCAGCATCCTGCACGACGTCTCCACGCTGCGTCCGCCGCACTCCGGGGACAGGCGTGAAGACACGCGCTTCTACGCCCTGCTCGCCATGCAGTGGTGAGCCGCGTTGTGGCGATGTGTCTCCCCCGGTGTCATGACACCCTGGTGCTGCCACCAGGGTCCCTGGACTCGAGTTCCCACTTGCTGAGAGCCGTGGGTCCAGAACCACTGTGCTTCCCCCCCCCCCCCCCCAGTGTCTCTCTCTGCTCTGCCCCTCGCCCCCCCAGTGTCTCTCCCTGCGCTGCCCCTCGCCCCCACTATCTCCTTGCATTTCCCAGCAGCCGTCTCTGTTTCCCTGCAGGGGAGACCTCCCGTACTCTGCCGTCTGCGAGTACACGCTGAGCGATGTGGAGGAGGCCTTCGCTCGGCCGCCTAAAAGACCGTTCACCATCGGGCCGGCAGGCTCCAGCACCGTCGATCTGAGCCCCGGCACGGTAAGCTCGCCACCACCGCCGCCGCCGCGACCTCCCGACACGGCGGGGAGCGAGTGGGGTCATCGCTCGCCCCGCCTCCTCCTCAGCCACGGCTCCCGCGGCGTTAATTACGTTTATGGAATTAGTGACAAAAATATCCATCAACGTTTTGTCGTTGAACCTGCCACCACCCGACACAGCTAACCAGTAACGGTTGTCACGTAAACAGAACGTGGCCAATTCGTCACTAGTACAGCACTACACCGGTGTGTTGGAGAGCCAAGCCACAACATTTACAATCTGAGTACGACGTTTGGCCAGTAATTACAACTTGCTTCATCAGGCGACAGCCAGCTGTACTAGTGACGAATTGGCCACGTTCTGTTCACGTGACATCCCTTACTAGTTGGCTGTGTCAGGTGGTGGCGGGTTTTAACGACGCATTTATATATTTACGCGATCTAACCCAAAAACCCCTCTATTATGGATGATATTGGTCACGAAAGCGTACTACGTGTTGAACATCAACGTTTTGTTTGTTTGAGTCGACGGTGACCGCGAGTCGAGCGTGACGATGACTACGGCGACTGCCGCTGCTCAGCGCAGACCAGAGCCACGACTGTGAGAAGGCGAAGTTCACGAGTCTGAACGAAGATGCCTGCCAAGATGACCTGGTGACATCGACTGCGGTGCGCCGACAGAAACCGAGCATAGTAAACGGCTACAGACGTATATTAACACCATTCAATGAGTTCACCGATTGGCTGACTTGACAATACTGGGGGTAGAGGTTACGTTAAGAGTGGACCGCAACTTTTAACAACTTTCGTAGACTGCACGAAGAGAATGGCGATATGACACGCACGGACTGAGACTCAACAAATTCTACCGGTTGTCGTGGATTAAGACCTAGACTCAAATTAAAATGCTGATACTGGTAGGAACCCACTGGTTCCACCAGCCCACAGGGGATTATTGTATCCGTCCGTGGTGCAGGGAGGAGCTGCGTGGGGAGGGAGGGGCTGGGTGGGGAGGAGGGTGGGGAGGGGCTGGGTGGGGAGGGTGGGGAGGGGCTGGGTGGAGAGAGTGGGGAGGGGCTGGGTGGGGAGGGTGGAGAGGGGCTGGGTGGGGAGGGTGGGGCTGGGTGGGGAGTGGGAGGGGTGGGGCTGGGTGGGGAGGGGCTGGTCACCCCGTGGTGCCCTTATAAAACTCAACGTTTAACCTACTCACGCCGGCTTGTGCCCGCCCTCACAGTCGGGCATATTTGCGGAATACACCACGCCGCCGTTGACCCTGGCCATTGACCGAGCAACCCAACCTTCCTACCATCTCCCTCCGCAGGAGGAATGTGTTTAAATGAGCACTGAAACGACCTCCCCACATGCCCCTCTCCGCGCGACAGTGCATCACTCCTGACCTGAGAGGTCTCGGCATTAATTCGTCTGAAGACCTCCCGGACGAATACCTGGCGTGGATTAAAAACAACCCGAGGCTGCAGGAGACGCTGCGGCCCCGCGAAGGCCTCCCGCTGCTGCTGAGCCGCAGCCACGCGTACACGAGGGTGGCGGCCGCCACGGCAACCGCGCTGGACAACCGCACGCACCTCGTCCTCTACCTGGGCACGAGTAAGTGCGCCGCCGGCATCGACGTCACGGTCATCGGCGGCGCTCTCGTCGGCAACATCACCGCCACCGTTAACCAACGCCGGCATCACTGCCGTCGTAGCGACCATCATCTGCAAAAATTCACATGGATCATCACCACCTCCACAATTACTACCGTAACCATAGAGCATCTTCATAGATTACCACTACTATCACCATCACTAACACCACTGTCGTCATCATCATCATCATAACTTCCATCACCAACACCATTAGCACATCACTATCACAGCTATCACCACTGTCACCCAGTGGCGGCTGGTGATATTTATTTTTGGGGGGGCGCATTTTTTTTATTTTATTGAGGGGGGCAAATAAATATAAAGCAGTACCAAAAACCATTTTGACTACTTTAATATAAATTTTGATGATCTTTATTTACATTTCAGACCAAAAGAAGTACCAAAAAGCATGTTTCCTACTTGAACATAAATGTTTCTCTTTTATATACATTTCAGACCAAAGTACCAAAAAGCATGTTTCCTACTTGAACATAAATGTTTCTCTTTTATATACATTTCAGACCAAAGTACCAAAAAGCATGTTTCCTACTTGAACATAAAACGTTAGTTTCATGCTATTATCAATATGGCTGCGGCTACTTTCATGACGTTTGCATTTGTCAGAGAGATGTTTGAGGTCTCTTACCCCCGTCGTTGTCCACAAAACTTCAGTGCCGACACTTTGAAATAAAAGACAGGGAAAACAAAAAAGAGAATTGCTAACATCACATCCAGCCAGCCACCTCCGTTTCTCATAACAAGCGCGGGTGAAGCTTCGTGTGTAGCTTCGTCCTCTGTCACTGGCCTGCTGCTGGATTGTAAATCGGGTTGGTCCGGTCCGAGATCCTTTATCTTTTTTATTTCTTCCAGCGAAAGCCTTGTGAAAGGGTTTTTTTGTAAATAAATTACAGAATTTGGATGAACTGCTGCCATTGTTTACACAAAAAATTTGATCAGCCTAGCAAGTGTCAAAGTGGTGTCGCCTTCGCACTCGCAGTAGTGGCCTACAGCGTAAATTTGAATGACAGGTGACGAGAACCAATCAGATTGGATAAAATAACATGTATCCAATTCTGATTGGCCAGGGACGCAACGACTTGCGCCCCGAGGAGAATCTTTAAGAAACCAATTAGAGACCAGCTTCAGGTCACATGCTGTCCGAAAATGTAAAGTCTCACATAGACATCCATTTGTCCGGCGCCCCGCATGAAACACATTGAAAAACATAGAAAATAGTTGACCGATTAAAGCCAGTTTTTATTAAATGCTGATGCTTTTCTTACTACCAGCCGGCACATCGTATGAAAAAAATATTTTATTTATGTATTTTTATATAAATTTTGTATACGTATATTTCTAGAATATTGATGGGGGCGGCGCCCCTGCGCCCTTTATTGACGAGCCGCCACTGCTGTCACCACTACCATCATTACCACCATGATCATCATCATCACCTATTTCACTATCACCAACATTACCATCACCGCCACCATCACCAACCCTGCCATCATCATCACCACCTCCACAATTACTACCGTAACCATAGAGCATAGTCATGGATTACCACTACCATGACCATTGCTAACACCACTGTCATCATCATCATAACTTCCATCACCAACACCATTAGCACATTACTATCAGAGCTATCACCACTGTCACCACTACCATCACCATCACCTCCTTCACTATCACCAACATTACCATCACCGCCACCATCACCAACCCTGCCATCATCATCATCACCAACTCCACCATCCTCATCACGACCATCACTGCCACCGCCGCCGTGACCCCTCACCGTGCGCGTCTGTGTCGCTGTGCCAGGAACCGGGTCGTTACACAAGGCGGTGCGTGTGGACGGGAAGACTCGCATCGTCTCACAGACGCAGCTCTTCGCTCACAACGAATCCATCCTCAGCATCGTCGTGTCAGCCAGCACGGTACGGCCGGGAAACGTGGAAAGATTGGTCCGAGCTCATCGTCATTGTCACCGTCACGATCATCATTGTTGCTGCCATCATCACGTTCTGTGTTGTCTTGCCGTGTGTACGCATGCATGCACGTGCTGGCGGTGGTGCTGTGTGCTGTGTGTGTGCCTCTGGGTACAGGGCACGCTGTACGTGGCAGCCTTGTCGCGTACGGCTGTGCCATGTTCTGTTCTGTGCTGTGAATGTGTGTATCCTGGTGGTAGATAAATGTGTTGGAACTGCTGTGCATGCTGTGCGTACAGACCATGCTATACGTCGCATTCTTGTTGGGTACGGCTGTGCCGTGTGCGTGCTGTGTATCCTGGTGGGTGGGGGTCAAAGTGTTGGTTCTGCTGTGCGCGCTGCGCCTGTGCTGTGCGTACAGGGCATGCTGTACGTGGCGGCCTCCTCGGGCGTGGCCCAGCTGTCTCTGCACGGCTGTGCCATGCACGGGGGCTGTGAGCGCTGCCTCCTGGTCCGAGACCCCTTCTGCGCCTGGGACACATCTCGATCCTTCTGCACGGCCGTGCGAGCAGGGGACTCTCCACGGTGACCCCCCCCCCCCGCCCTTCCCCTGACCTCCCCTGTAGGATCAGCCGAGTTTTAGTTCATGAGTTGTGATGTGGCACTGGTGGTTGTGGTGGTGATGGGAGCGGTGGTGTGGCGGAGGATCAGAAAAACACACCACAGTGAGCAGCGTGCCGGGCAGATACACCACATCGCAGTAACTGAATTCATGACACCTGGGTCTGTAAATTAATTAATCAAAATTAGTTTCTTTAAAGGCAAATTTCTTGAAACCAAGACAGCTGGACTTAAAAATAATTCTCCGTTCAAATGTTTACCCCATGCAATTAAAATAGCGATTCGGTTCATCTGCAATCATGCAACGTGTAGAATGTCTTTAGTTTTCATCTGTGAAAGCCAGGCAGAACAGGAAACATTTGTTTTTACTTTGGACGGCCAGGCAGTCCTTTATGTGGCGAAGTAGGGGTTGGGAGGGTGGGTGGGGAGGGTGGGGCTGGGTGCCCGCCCTCACAGTCGGGCATATTTGTGGAATACACCACGCCGCCGTTGACCCTGGCCATTGATCGAGCAACCCAACGTTCCTACCGGCTCCCTCCGCAGGAATGTGTTATAACTGAATGGGATGGTCGTAGTGTAGTGGTGCTGGTGGTGATATTTTTGTGGTGTTACAAAGGGAATGCTGCCGAGTGATGCACCAACATTATTGTGAACATTTGTTGTTTTGCAGGAGCCTGCTGCAGAACCTGACGCATGAAGACGCCCAGGCTTGCGGTGGTGAGACCCCAAAATCCCCGCCTTGGGAATGCTAATCAGGGGAAATAAATAGATTCACAGTATATTTCACCCAAATAAATATAATCATTGTAAGTGTGAGTTATTTGATCATCATCATCAGCCATTGTCGATTCACTGCTGGATGAAGGCCTCCCCCCTGCACCTTCATCTCCCTCCTCCACATGAACTAATCTCGTAGCTCCATCTCCACGGTGGTGGTCACCTCTCATGCGTCCTCTCCGTTGGATTCCACTCTCCGCCACCACTCTCTCGGAGGCCATCGCCGCGTCGGGTGATGTCCTGCCCAAGCCCGTTCGCCTTCGTTGCTTCTCATGGTCAACTCGTTCAGAATCAATGCGAATGTTCATTTATACTGCAGGAGGAATCCAATGAGCTGTTGGAAGATTTTTTTTCACGGATGTCCAGAAAGGGGGGTGGGTCAGCAAGTTACGACAACAAACAATACGAAAAAATATAGCCGTGCGAAGTAGCAAAAACGTAAGCAAGTCACTAAACAAATGAATCATGTATATGAGTACAAATTGCATAAGTATATAATTTCCTGCCAGAGACTAAATGCCAGCTTTGGAAAGGCAGAATAACAAAAACAGCATTCACCGATACTGTCCACTGATGAACATCCCAGAGTAATTCATCCTCTGTTGTTCAAAATGTTCAATCTGAAAGAGCGATGTTGACGGGTTTCTCATTCCACTGAACCCTGTCGCTTTGCAGGTGCAGAGGAAGAAGAGACCATTTTGGAGCGGCAGACAGGAAGCACGTGCAACAGCTATCACAAGGAGATGGTGACCGGGTGGATCTTTTTCGTCTTGTCCGCCTTGTCCGCCTTAGTGTTAGGTGTGCTGCTGTGCAGACAGCAAGCGTGCTTTGAGTGCGTTAAGTACGATCGCGCAAAGACGATGAAGACAGTCCCTGACGGTGACTCCAAATACACGGCGCAGAATGGGAATACGGCGGCCGGGCTGAGCAAACCTTAGCCCGCGCCCAGTGTCCGCCGCCGTCTCTCGTCATGCGTGTGACAAGGAGGCTTGAGCTGGTCGAGGAGGATCTTTATTCTCAACGCCAACTCACACTTCCGCTGGTCATCCAAAGCCAACCCCGAACTCTCCAACTCGGTCTCCTTTGTATTCTTGGGTCTTTCGGTAAAGTCACGTAGATAGGTTCAAAGAAAATAACAAAAAATAAAAAAAAACTACGGCTTTTCGATCGCATTAAAAGAAGGGGACGAATGCTTGTGTTGCGATCGAAACGTCGTAGTTTTTTTTTTACCTATCTACATGACTTTACCGAAAAACCCAAGAATATGAATTCCTGCAGTCACGAAAGTTTTAAGTCAAGATTCAGTCTCCTCTTATAGCCCGTCTCCCCACTATGCCGCCAATCACCTCGGGTTTTTCCGCCTTTTTATCATCCTTCTCCGCACCAATCCAATCGGAGTGTCCTCCACTCCAGAGCCGGCCCTAGACCTTTGGGGGCCCTAAGCAAAATTTGGTTGGAGGCCCCTTTGATGTATGATTTTTTTCACCCACGAGCTAGCAGTGACTCTAGGGGGCCCTCTGCTGGCCACGGGGCCCTTTGCAATTGCAAGGGTCGCTTAGTGGCTGGGCCGGCTCTGCTCACCACTCAATCGTCGGATTGCGTGTCGTGTACAGCAGTGCTTCAGTGACCCCTGACCCTTAACCCGTGGTTGTGCGGTGTTTGTGTGTGACGGTGGCAGACGCCGTGTCACCCTGCGGCAGCGACGGTGGCTGTTCGTACATTTTACGTAAGACGATCGCTCCTGCGGAAAGGTGTGACGCTTTGTAAAAGTGATAATCGGTGTGCATGCTCGGGATACAACGCATCACGTAGTGCTGGCACGATAATTTTTTGCACATGAGAGGGGGGGGGGCGTATAATTTTAAAATAAATTGCCTCCTTATCACCTTTTTTAAATGTAAACTATACTCATTTCATCGCAACACTTTACAATCCACATTTCATCGTTTTTATTCAATCTCCTGTACGATGAACTCCATTCACTCACGTCATCCACCTTTCGAATGTCTGCAACAAACAGTGATGTTTTGCGAGTTACCAGGTTTCATTCCAGTACACCCCTCATCTTCAGAATGTTTTGCAAGTTTCCAGGTGCATCTAGCGGGAACACATGCAGAGATCATTCAAGTAGATTTTAGCGTAATTGTCAACCCTACTGATGTAAGCGGTGTGGCTGCAGGATTTTACGCCCTTTTAAGCTCAAAACCAAGCAAAAAAAATAAAGTATTTATTTTTCGAGCTTAGCTGTGAATGTCGGTGTTACAGCAGCCTACGGCTTAACTCGGTCCAGTTGTGGACATGTACGGGCTGAATGTGTGTGCAGAGTTTACAATGGAAAACAGACTCTTAATTGATAATTGCGTTTTTACCCTTTCATCTGGCAACAAAACTGACACATTTTTTTACAGGGAATCATGTTTGCATTGACCATAATACCTTCGGTCAGAATGCAAACAAAAAACAAGGTGTCAGTTTTGCTGCCAAATAAAAGGGTAAAAACCCAATTATCATTTTTGCTACTGGCAAAGGAGGTTCCAATGGAGACTCTTAATTGTGAGCCGCCTCCAAATAATGAAAAAGCATCCCACGTGTGTGAGAGGGTTGAGTTTTGAAGCGCCTCGTAATTCTCCGGTCCAAGAGAAAGAGAAACGCTCCACAATGAGAACTCGTTGGGCGTGGTTGGGGGGGGGGATTGCTTTTACAACTTCAAAGGAGATTTGTCTTAAGTGAGGAACTTTCCTCGGCTTCATCTTCACGCTTGGGAAGGGTTACAACGCGGCACAGCGGCAGCGCTTTCGCCGCTCGTTGCAGACGGTAACGGCGTGAATTCGGCGGCCGGCCTACACCGAGGTGTTTTGGTTATGAACAGGAATTCATTTTCCTTTCAACCCCCAAGGCCCCCCACCTCCTCCCTTTATTGTTGTTGAAATTTTCTCCGATTGACACTGTGGGTGTGCTGCGCCGTCTCGCACGCGGATGGACGTCGGGCGCGCTGACGTAATTCGCAAGCTGCCCCACAAACGTTTGGTCGGCGTCGTGGTCCGAAGTTGCCAAATTCGAAAGCTGCCCGCAAACTCCTCAATTGGGATCATGCGGAGAAATCATCGCCCCCCCCTCCTCCCGCTTACTGGCAGACCAAAGCCGACTTTGTGTCCACAGGGACAGCTGCCACTGGGGGTGCCCGTTCAAATGTGTTGAGATGTGAAGCACTCTGACCCGGTGTGCTACTCCTGTAACGCGTGACGCTGTTAGGTAGCCGTGATTATTGTCACCACGATCTGTCCTCTTGTAACAACATCGCAACCGTCGCGTGACGTGCGCCCGTGCAGTTACAGCCCAACTGCTCAGGGGACATCCCTTGAGTAGGGACGCAGAGATCTGTCAAAACGTGACCCCTCCCCCCTCCCTGTACGCACGCCGACTTTTTACACCCCCCCCCCCCCCACCTGCGTACGTACGCTGGACGCACCCCCCCCCCCCCGAATCCTATGGAACGGCCGGTATTTAAACCACGCAGAAACGATCAAGGATGAATAATATTAACGTATTTAAGCAAACAGTCCACCGCCGGACTATCGAACTCATTTGAAGGCCAATGTAGACAAATTATTATCGAGGCTTCACCCCCGTACGCAAGCGTACGCATTTGGGTTAACCCTCCCGCACTCCATGCATACGTACTAAAACAGTTACAACAAGTTAAACGCTTATGCTGCTCAGAATTTATATTCCTGCTCCATGCAAGAATTTCCAGGAGCCCTTTTTGTTACCACCTTCGAACAAACACGATGCATATTTATGCTTCGAAACTGAAGGCTTTTTTAAATATTTGTATAGTGTTTTTTATACACGTATTTTTTTTATAATCAGTGTATAAAGTGACAATTATTTGCACTTGCATGTGTTTATACTGTCGGTTATATACCTCGAGAATCCTGCATTCTGTCCATTTCAGCACGGTCCTGAGTAGAGAAAAAACTCAATAATGTGAAGAGCCGAAATGCACTGTGGTGAAGAGGAGGCCGGTAGGCCCTCCATCATAAATAACGGTCACGAAGCGGTCACTCAAAGACAGCCGCAGGTTGCCGACTGCTGCTGCTCGAGCTCGTTCGAGTTTGAGGCCTTCTGCCAGCAGTGACAGGGCGCGAGCAATTGCAGGGCCGCGCCTTTACGTGGTCGCTGCTCGGACCGTTCGCTAAAAGCTCCTGCCCGTGAAACCGCCTGTTGTAGCCATTTCAGGCCTGAACTTTTAAAAGTTAAATTATTTCATTTGTGTTGTGTGTGTGTGTTCCCATGGTAAATGTCCCCATTTGTTTTTGTTATGTTTGTTTCATTTCTATATATACTTTTTTTCCTTTAAACTTGTAAATGTTTTCTTGCACGATGAATTGGCTGCTTATTTCTCAGTCGCAATGTCCTGTTTCGCACGGTTAGGCTCTGTATCCGTGTGTATGTTTCAGTAAGGTTTGCAATGTTGATTGATATATGCAGTTAATTATTATTGATCTTGGCCGGGAGACTCTATCCTCCTCTTCCCAAAGAATCGAATACCCCATCATGGGCTTAACCCTTGAGATGCCGTGTGCATAATATCCGGGTTACAGATTAACTGTGATTGTGAAATAATGGAGAGAAATAAATCAAATGATAGTCCATGCCCAGCCACAAATTTAAAGCCCCAGATACGGAGTTGCTGGGTCCAGTAACACGCCGGAGAGTTGTGATGTTTGGCAAAATGTGGCAAGTTGAGGAATTACTGTTCAAAGAGGAAATTGGGCATTTATCATTTGAAGAGGCAGATGGCAATTCCTGCGCGCAGTTAGGACTGGAGACCTCCGTTTAAAGTACTGGAAAGGAATACTGCTGTTGAGAGCCCGTGCACTCTATTTGTAAGCCCGAAGAAGAACAGGCGTGTTTAACTCCATCTCAGTGAACCGCTTATGCATAATAAAGGTGTTTGTTAAATCTGTCGTAACCCTCTACCACCCGACACGGCCAGTAAGGTTTGTCACGTAAACAAAACGTGTCAATTCGTTACTACCTCTGCGCACCGGTGGCTTTACTCTCCAACACACCGCTGGGCTGAAGTCGTAACTTATTGGCGTGTTTGTTTACGTGCGGTGGAGAATTACGACACATTTATACTTACGCGAGCTAACCCAAAAACCTTTATTATGAATAATTTTTGTTCGCGAAAGCCTACGTGTTCAGCTGAACCTTTTACATTTTAGTGAACCGAGTTTGCCCTTTGACATTCCATTCATTCAATACGAACGAAAATAAATGTTGCTTCTCTTACATTCGCGTTGCAAATAATTCTTCAGCGTGCAATTTTGTCTCCTCTCGAACTCGTGAGCGCTGCTGTGCCGAGATCGGCCGCGCTTCTTGTCGCCGCCTCGTCTTCCAAAGACGTCCCGAGCACCGCGCACATCTTTTTAAAAAGTCCCAACGTGGGAGTCACCAGGTTCCTGGATCGTTTGCCTGCGGTGGTGGAAGCCAATGAGGGCTCCAAGCGACGTTCGCACGAGACTCGCAGTGCATTGTGGGCTTCAAGGCCACGCTGTGGTTTTAATGGTAACGTCGTATTGAGGTGGCAGGCAATGTTAAAAATCACAAATTCAAAAAGACCCAACAACAGATCCTTAAAATAATCTTACAGTGACATGTCCAAAGCAATGTATCCTGCCATGCATGTACAGCATAGGGCAGCTCCTTACTGTGCACGTGTGGTGAGGATGTATGCTCTCCCACGCCACACAACAATATTAATGTTGAGTCTCTCGCTCAGACCATATTATCTCTGCGTTGTTACGGATAAGAAGACAAATTAATTACCCAGGCGTCGGCAACAAAAATAACAATTAGCCATTTGTTTCAAATTCGGAAGATGAAAACCCTCAATATTTCAAGAGCCGCAATGCAATGTGAATACCACACGGTGGTCCTTTCAGTTTACAAAATGTTTTTTTTATTCCACATCCTCCCTCACATACACTGCAACATCCTGACATTCTGGACGGAATCACCAGTTGCATCGACGGTGTCAGGCACACCGGACTCATCAGAGCAGGCGCGTGGGGGGGGGGGCTGAATAAAAATTGTCACGAGGCGGTACTTTCAAAGAGCCGGATGCTGCTCCTGAGCCGCAGGTTTGCCGAGCCTGCCGGTCGTAACCTCTCGCCAAATGTAACACCACACGAATGTTTCAAGTTTCAAGTTTCATTTATTAGGTATAGCCCTGTGAGCTATTCGGCTCTTGAATCGGGTGCAACCGCAACAAACAAAAAAAACATGAACAAGAAAACATCTTAAAGTGACTACGTGACTATGTGCAAACAGAAAATCCAGGAAAAAACAGCAAAATCTTCCAGAAAAAAAGCACCGTACACCAACGCTGTGTGCAAAAATCCCAGTGGAATGCAAGTCAAACAACAACAACAACCACAAGACAACTTAGATTAAGGCCATCAGTCCAACTCTGTAGTGTGGCTGCCACCAACATCACTGAGACAGACGGAGCCTCGTCTCGTGGAGTCTCCCAGCTCCCTCGGGTCGCCCAGGCTCGCGGGGAGGTCGCGACGTTTCGGGCTCCCACCCGACCTTCGCCGGCGACACGAAACCACCAAATAAGCCAAAAAGAGTCTGAGAACATGCAAACTCTTCCATGGTTGTGGCGTTGTTTATGCACACGAGTGGAAGATTGGCAGCAGCCTCCACGTGGTCCCACTGTTGTTAAATGAGAAATCACGACTCCAAAAAATGTATGAATTTATTGCACAAATTATACGTAAATATAACTTATTGTAAGTTACAATACTGTCTGTGCACAACAATTAAGGAACCGAGAGACCTTCAGAAGCAACCACGTGGTCGTTCGGCCGCAGAGGAAGTGAAGTAAAGGTATGAGGAAGTTGTGGCCACCAAGTTTTGTTCTATTTTGTCTCAGCTCAGCCCTGGTATCAGCAACATCCTGACAGAGGTAACAATTGAACGTGATCTACATGGTGGTCGAGATGTCTTATGACCCCCCCCCCCCCAATTAATTGACCCATCACATTATTTTCCCTTTGCATATCAATGTCTGTTTTAAATAAGCCATTACTTTAAAAATGTTAAGTTTTAGAGGATTAAATGGGGGGGGTCACAAAACATCCGGACCATCCCGTACATCAAAGAGGTCATTTCTCACGAAACAAAGACCGTAACGGTCGGTGGTTCGTGCTCGCTTGAAGTAATCGTTTAAAGAAAAACTGAAAACGTAAAGTCGATATTCACGTATTTGTATTATTATTACTGTGTTGACAGTGACATCCCTATTTTAGAGAGCAGTGTCAATCTACTGCTGGATGAAGGCTTCCCGAACAACTCCGTGACGTGTTGGTCGCTGGACGGTAGCCTCGCCACGCCGGCTGGTGCGGGTTGGGTGACCCAATACTGGTTGAGATATAAAGAACCATAGAGTATGGATTCCTGCAGTCACGAACGCTTCAAATCAAGATTGGTTGAGATGTCATCGGATATCTGATTAATAGGTTCCGTACGTGGAACAAATACTCCGAATTTACGGTGACAAATTCGGAATAATTATTTGGTTCTTTCGGTTAAGTCACGTCTAAAGATAAAATAATAAATTAAATTAAATAATAGCATACGACGTTTCGATTGCAACACAAGCAATCATCATCAGGTATAATGAAATAGCGACATAAAATCTAACCAGAAAACTATAGACAGACATATTAGCAAACAGATATCACCAAGATACATAGAGAGAGCAACACAGGTACAGAGAGGGGAGATCGTCTCTGTGGGGTGGCCTTAAATAGACAGAGGGGGGGGGCGGAGGCAGAGAGAGGGAGGGGGTTAGAGAAAAAAATGTTGCATATCAATGAGTGGACAACAAACATGATGCTGCAAGTGCGATGACACGGCAAGCAAGCCTGAAAATCAGGAGAAGGACAAACTAAAATTAAATAATTCCTGCAGTCACGAAAGTTCTAAAATTAAGATTGAACCACTTCTACGGGGAAGTTTTAAGCTTATCCTTTTTTCTCTCTCTCTCTCTGGCTACTTGTTCTCTCTGCCTGTGTCCTCTCTTTGGAATGTTCACACTAAAATTCTTACTTATCAATCTTTGAAATACGTAATCAACCAGGCTATGCGTTAATTGTGTGTTGACCGACCCTCTGTGTTGTATTACATTACATTTCGATATTTTACTAGGTTATTGAATTTTAGTTTGTCCTTCTGATTTTCAGGCTTGCTTGCCGTGTCATCGCACTTGCAGCATCATGTTTGTTGTCCACTCATTGATATGCAAATTTTTTCTCTAACCCCCTCCCTCTCTCTGCCTCCGCCCCCCCTCTGTCTATTTAAGGCCACCCCACAGAGACGATCTCCCCTCTCTGTTACCTGTGTTGCTCTCTCTCTATGTATCTTGGTGATATCTGTCTGCTAATATGTCTGTCTATAGTTTTCTGGTTAGATTTTATGTCGCTATTTCATTATACCTGATGATTGCTTGTGTTGCAATCGAAACGTCGTATGCTATTATTTAATTTAATTTATTATTTTATCTTTAGACGTGACTTAACCGAAAGAACCAAATAATAATTCCTGCAGTCTCGAAAGTTCTAAAATTAAGATTAAATTCGGAATCCTTTGAATGTCCGCTTGTAATTCACACGCACAAACGTGCTGCACAACTCCACCAATAGATGGCAGCATGTGGCAAGATAGACACATTCTTCCCTCTCTCTGATGATCATCGGCACCCTGCGTCCGATATTTCCCCGACCCACGCGTACCTCTTCCCCCTCCCCCCTACACCAATTGTACCAAGTCGACAGATGCATGGCCGATGAGCGCAGAGCCACAGGTGAGGGTGTTTTGGCTCCACGCGGCGAAGTTTCATCCGGATTCGCACCCCCTGCCACGAATGCGGCTGACACTGCCCCACCGAGTGGGCTGCAAGTTGAAATAAACTATAATTTCACTTTACCAGGTAAGGCCCAACATGAGCAATGAAGCTCTTTTTC